GGTGTCCCTAGCCCCGCCTGTACCCAGCCTTGCACTTCCGCAGGCCCCTGGGGTGTTCCACCCTTAATCTCTGGCCCTGAAGAGTCCCGTGTGACAGCACACCCGGGCCCCCGGCTAAGTTCCTGAGGGCTCTGCCGGGCCTGTTGTACCCCTAAGCTGGATTGGGGTGGAGGGCCCGATGTGGGGAATGCTCAGGGCGTTTCTTACATTCCTCCATCTGCCTGCAGTTCCTGCCCAGGCACCAGCAGCTGAGAGAGAGAGTGCGGAAGCGGCTCTATTATGGCTGGGGGAACAAAAAAAAAACTCTCTAGCCCCGTGGCAGGGGCGTTGCTGAGTGTCTCCAGATGGGAATGCTGAGTCAAGGGGGTTGGAAGTAGCCCAGGGGCTGAGACCAACAAGTCACCCGCTCCCTCCCCAGCGCCAAATCCCACCCCTACCCAGCCTTCCTCGCTCTGTGCAGCACAGTGGGCAGGGTGCCAGAGCCTCATGGCTCCTGCTCTCTGTTTTATTGCCCTGTCTGGCCTACTGCTGCATTTTTGGCACCTCACTGGTGCAGAGAGCCCTTTAGGTTGCATGTGGTTCCTTGGTAGTGAAGGCTATGTCCCTGTCCCTGGTGAGAGTTGTTTTGGACAACTTCTTGCGCTTTGCAAAGTACTGGGGAGTTCGCTTAACTTCTAGTTGTGAGCACCAAGGGGATAAGTTCGTCCTGTGTATTCGTCTAGATTACATCCTTTTTTGTCCTGTTGATTCAGTGGTGTTTGTGGGAGCAGAAGGATGCAGCCGAGTGGAGGCTGAGCAGCTGGTGCAGGTGACAGTGGAGTGGTCAAGGGCAAGCAGTGGTTTGCTAGAGGTTCTTCGCAGTGTGGTCATGTTAGCATTTCCATTAGCTGCGTGCTAGGGAAACAGTCCAAAGTTGCCAAGAGGCTATGTGTGATGTACCTCAGCAAGGTGGGGGATGCTGGGTGCATGGTCACGGAGCAGGGCAGCTAGCTGCCTGGGCACAGCTGGGAGTCATGAGGTCTGACTTGAGTGGCACACGGGAGGCATATGGCTCGTGTTTGGGGCTGGCGTCACACCCAGGTGCAAGACGGGACTGTTCCACAGGATGCTACCAGTGTTGAAAGTTGAAAGGGCACATTCATGGAAGAAAACTCTGTTGAGGGCTATTAACTATAAAGACTACCTTGCACCCAGGAAATGCCTTGGCTCCAGCAGCTGAGGTGGGGAGCGATGCGCCGAGAATATCTCTGAAGGCATATCTGCTCTTGCAGCCTTCCTTCATCATCTGCTATCAGCTGCCATCAAAAAACGGGACCTAGGGCTACGGCATCTGTCTTGGTACAGCTGTGCTGTTGCTACACGGCAAGTTTAATGCACTGTTCTTCAAATGAGATAGTAGCAATTGTGGGGAGTCCAGAGTAGCAGGAGGAGCTGGAAAAGGTCTTTGGAATTGGGGGGCAGTCGCAGGAGGCAGTATGGGGCTAGCTGAGGAGAGAGGTTGAAAAGTGAATTTGTTCTTTCTGGAAAGGAAGAACTGTGACCACCCTCAGTCTGCTGTGGCTGTGAGATGGGGACAGCAATCAGCTGCACTCTGTGCCCTCTAGGGCAGGACATGCTGTCGTGGGTTGGATTTGTGGGCTCAAGAGCTAGGTTTCCTGTCAGGACAGAGCCTGGGGGCCCTCATGTGCTTTCCATCACTTGGGGCGTTGCTGCTGCCTCTGCGGTGGCACAAAGGTGGCCAAGCAGGGCAGAGAGAGTGGCAGCAATGTGAGATGCTGGGATCTGCCAACGGGTGGCTGGAGCCGTGTCTGCCTGGCTGTGGATCCTAGCAGTGGTGTGACTTGAATGACCTGGGGAGGTCCCTTAGAACAGTGTGTTTCAGAGCTTGGTGACTGCTGTTGGGCAAATAATTCCTGTGGGATTGCAGCTCTTCTCTTAGTTGCTGAAGAGACATGGAAAGGAGGGATGCAGAGAGAAGAGGTTGTGTGGTGGTGCTTCCCCTGGGAGCTGGAAACGCAAAGCTGCTGGGATGAGCTCTGCTCTTGACTGCCAGCCAAGGGCTCGGCAGCAAAATGGAGCTGGAGTTGCCTGTCAGATACTTCTTGCCAAGCACCAGACTGTAGTGCTGTTTGGGATGCTCCCAGCTGATCCTATCGCATTGAGAAGTGAGGTGGGAGCTGCTGAAGCCATCTGCCAGCATCTGTCAGTCTCTGGCCTTTTCAGTGCTTGAATGCTGAGGCATGTCCACAAGCATGGGGGAAACGGGCTGAGGTGAGCTGTAGTTATACCATATCGCTGCTTCCATACCCTGTTAGTGCCTTTGGGCTTCTGCTCACATGAGTGTGTTGTCCATTGTCTCGGGGGCACTGGGGCTGTGGTGTAGGAGAAACTGGATCAGTGCAGACGAACTCTGGAGGGAGGAGGATGCTGGTTGGGAAGGACTGGGAAGACATCAGGTCCTGGAAAGCCTCCAAAAGGGCTGCCGGAGGTCCCATGGGGTGAGGGGAGGGTGTTAGCCTCGCTGTGCAGCTGACTGCTGGTAACTCCCCATGACGCAGACATGCTAATCTGGATCTGGCACTGCTGCTGGGCCTTGGACGCTCACATCCTCTTCCTGCTTTGGTCTGGCTGTCCTGCCTATTTGTTTGTTCCTCCCTCATCCTTGACTTCTGATAAGGCCTGTCCTACCTTCATAGTTTAATTTAAACTTGAAGGGCTGAGCAAACACCAAGACTTAATGGGTTTGTGGGGAGAAGGGGAAGGGTCGGACTAGGCTGTGTCATATGGGGTTAAACCTTTTTGCTGTTTTTCTGTCCTAGATATTGCTGTGGAGTTGCTGCAGAAAGTGGCTCCCAGTCCTATCCGCAGACTCCAGAAGAAATATGTGTCTCATGTATCTCGGTAAGAAGCGAAATGTGTCCCTTCATGTCTCGTGTCAGAATTGGGAGCTCTGATCTCACCTGTGACTCACTTTTGTCCCCTGGGCCAGCACTGGCTTTGTGCTTAGGCCTGATTAGTGTCAAAGAGGAGCTGGGGGCAGGTGGCAAGGAGAGCAGGCACATTAGCTTCCTGACACAGCCAGACCCACTTCAGGTTGGTCCTGCTCTCTGGCGTGCAGGAGTGCTCTTGTTACTGGAAGTCTGTACTGGCTGGATCTGCAGCTCACCGAGGTCTGAACCCTGGGTCTGCTCTTGGCAGCCAAGCCCTCACAGCATGCCTAGCTGCAGGCAGGTCTGCTCAGTTTGGAGCTGGCTGTGCCTGCGAACAGGAGCCAGGGCTTTCTGCTCTCTGCCCTGCATCCCCTGTGCTTTCTCTTGCTACAGCTCAGGACAGCCGGCATGGAGCTGGCAAGGCTGGGATGTATCTAGCTGTCCATTTACTAAACCTCCCCACTACTTACACGGGGAGGGAGTGGCCAAGTTGTGCCATGGTGGCTGGAATGTTTGTAGCACGTGGATAACCTTTAGGTTGGTTCTTGCCCTGTCCTGCAGGGAAGCTTGCATCTCACCTTGCTCCATGATGCTGGCACTGGTTTACATTGAGAGACTCCGGCACCGGAACCCTGAATACCTCCAGCAGATCTCATCTTCAGACCTCTTCCTGATCTCCATGGTGAGTGATGTGGGCTGGGGGTCACTGGGTTGGGGGAGGCCTGGAGGAGTGCAGTGGGGACTGAGATCCTGTCCTTTGTGCTGCTTTTAGATGGTTGCTAGTAAGTACCTGTATGATGAGGGTGAGGAGGAAGAGGTGTTCAACGACGAGTGGGGAGCAGCAGGGAAAGTGGACGTCCAGACCATGAACACACTGGAGATGAACTTCCTGAGTGCCATTGTAAGTGGGACTGTCACTACAGTCAACTATTTCACAGGGTGGGAGAAAGGAAGCATTGAGGGGAGTCTGGATTTCTGTTTTTCCCCCACGTACTCCCATGAAGGAATAGGGAAGCATATGTCTGGGTGCTGGGTGGCCTGCCCTGACTGTGCTGACCTTTCACTGCTGTCCCCACAGGACTGGAGTCTCTACACGGATCCCCGGGAGCTGTTTGAAGTGCTGAGCTGGCTGGAAGGACGGTAAGTCTGTGGGGTGGAGGTGAGGCTTTCATCCACCTTGTAGCCCTAGCTCTGCCCCTGCTCAGAGCTCACCCTACTGCAGTGAAATAAGAGGTTGGGGTACCCGTGAGCCTTTTCTAGGCTCTGCAGCTCCCTTCCACAGACCCTGAGCAGGGTCTTCTCCAAGCCTGCCTGGGCTGAAGCTTCTTTGATGGGGAAGGTCCATGCCACGTCTGCCATTCTTTTTTTTTCTGCAGTGTGGCAGAAAAGCAGGGCATGTGGCGTGGCTGGTTCACCTACACGGATCTGTGTGTCCTCATGGAGCAGTCCATATGGCAGCATGTGCTGGGCCAGTTCTACCAGCAAGTGGTGAAGGTAAGGGCATGGGACAGCAGCTACTTGAAAGAACATGGGACCCAGCAGGCCATGGGTTTGGAGCAGGATCCTCTCTTCCACTGGGAGCAACAGCTTGGTTTATTCTCTGTTGAAAAGGGAAGCTGTCAGAAGCCAGGAGATGCTGATTTGCAGATGTGCTGCCTGAGGCACTGCAGCCTGGTGCTGGGTTAGTCTGTGCCCTGTGCTGGTGCTGGACTGCAGCCCCACAACTTATGGTGCAAGGTCATGATGGTGGCGTGGAGGGAACTGGGTGCTGTCTGGGGGTTTAACTGTTAGATTTTAGCTGGAGTGTTTTGGTTTGTGGTATTTAGGCCTTGCTTTGAACAGGCTGTGTGCCACCCGCTGTTAGCAGCGTTGCTGCCTGCTCCCTGGCATCCAGCCATGGTGCTGGTGGTGCCGTTTGCCATGACGGCTGCTGGGTTGATGTGTGGCTGTTCTGGGTCAGTGCTGGCAGTGGGTGCTGCTGGGAGTCTGGGCTAATTGTTGACTTCTCTGCAGCTGGCCTGCCTCCTGGGTGTGGTGTACCTGACTGGCTTTGCTACTGTCTTTGCCTCTGTCACCGTGGTGCACCGGTCCATGTGCACGAGGAGCATCAGCGCTGCAGCGCCCCGGCCTACGCTGTTCCCTGAGGAGGGCAGCTGCCAGCTGAAGGCCCAGGCAGCCCCCGACCAGCCCCAACCCAAGCTGCCCGGCGTCTCCCCAGCCAGCAGCACCCGTTGCCTGGGGGAGAACGAGACAACCAAGGAGTCGCATCGTGGGGGCGTCACGGCAACTGCGCTCTACCTGTGGGGCAGTGTGATGACCGCTCTCTCCTACCCAAAGGCGCCTGATCTAGCCCAACACAGGAGCCCCCTGCAAGGTCCCTTCCGGAGAGTACCTACTGCTTGTGAGAGATCTAACCGTACTGCCTCCACTGCAGCCCCCAACCAGCCTGGCCCCTTCGGACTCGCCGTGCTCCCGGCCCCCCCGGTGCTCCACTGCCGTGCCTGCTCAGCCAGTGCGGGCTCCACGTGGGATGCAGCCTCCAACCGCAAGGACTGGCTGGACCCACTGGGGCTGAAACAGTGCTCCTTGCACACTGCCATGGATCTCGGTAGAATCAAGAGCTTCATTTTTCCCAGCTAGGAGCATGGGGCAGCAACCTCTTTCCCCTTCCCTCCTAGTGTGGCACAACTCAATTCCTTGCACTTGTGGGACCCCTGATCCCTGGGGCTGCATGGGGCTGGGAGGCCTCTGCATTACTTCCAAACCAGCATTTGTGTCCCCCCACCCAGGGCAGGGGTGTCCTTCACTTTGGGGGCTGCTGAGACATGTTGGGGCAGAGTTGGCTTGCTGTTGGGTTGCTGGGGTGGGAACCTGTTAGCTGGAGGATAGAAATGGGGTGCCCTTGGGTTGGGGTGCTGGGGCACAGGGGTCTTGTACCTCTTCCTACAGCGAGTGGGTGGCCCTTGGTGGTGCTGGGCAGAGGGTGGTGTGTGGGATGTAGGATGCTGGGGCTGAGTGTGCAGGGTGGAGGGGCTGGGCAGTGACCCCAGTGGGGAGGTGGAGTGTGCCAGAAGGAGGTGAGGTGCCTGGGTGAGGGTGGAAGAGGTTGAAGGAGTGGGGAGTGAGCAGCCAGAGCTGGTTGGCCATAGCAGCAATTCCTACTGGGGGCTGCCAGGCCACTTCTTGGGAGGTGCAAGGGTCACACCAAGAGGGGACCCCGATGTGGCTGTGCCCCACTGGGCTTGGAGGTGGTGAGGTGTGGTTAAGGCTGAGCTTCCTTATCCTGCTTGTGTTGGGTGTTTTGAAACTGGGGTGCTCTGTGACCCTCATCCCAAACCCCAGCTGTCTGTGGCTGTGAGCAAACGGTGCCTGACTGCTCCTTGGGGTGGGGAGAAGGCGCCTTGTCTTGCTGACCAGCCCAGCTTACTCTGCACCCTTCTTTTTACTGTGGATTTTACACCTCTTTTTCACTCTTTTGTAGATGCAAATCTCTTCCAATAAAAGTAGTTCTTGCTGTGCACCTGCCTTGTCCTGCTGAGCTGCTCTGTGCTAGCAGCATGCCTACCCCAGTGTGGAGCCCCGTCGATGCAGCTGTGCTTGGTGCCTGAGCCGGTGTGCAAGGCAGGTCCTAGGTGCTGCAAGTGAGCCCAGGAGCAGTGTGAGGCCTGTCCTGCAGGGCTCAAGACGGACTAGGCTCTCTGGTGACAAGGAGAGCCGTCAGGTCTGGTGCCTGGGGAAGGCAGGGGTAGCGGGAGAGAGGAGGTTCCCCATCCTTGGGAATGCGGGGAATGCACGGTCTCTACTGCTCTTTGCTCTCCAAAGTCTGTCCAGTTAATGAGTGAGCCCTGAGCAGCAAGGGCTTGGCAGGGTTGCTGTTGTGGTTGCTGGTGCAGCCACCTCTGCCCTGTGACAAAAACAGCATCCCCTCCCTATGGTCCCTTGGGAGCCTTCCTACCGAAGCAGGCAGCTCTTTTCCGTGGCATCCTTGCCCACTGGCAGGATTTGGTGCCCTCCTCCTAGGAGCATGGGGCATGTGGTAGACCCCCATCAGAGACCCTCCTGGTGTGGGCACAGTGCCCACAGAGGGGAATGGTAGGACCTTGGGGAGCCTGTGGAGCTTTTAACAGGCTCCTCAAGGCCTGATGATGAGGAAGGGCTGGACCAGAAGGCCAAGGGGATGCTGTGCTGGGGAGGACTGAGCACAGGCAGGGCACGCTGGAGCTGGAGGAGGATGCTGGTGGGGATGTTTCAAGCACATGAAGCAAGAGGCATCTGTGCTGTGGCCCACCCAGTCCCTGCCCTGGGTCCCACAAGAGGCAGGGTTGGGACCTGGGCTGTGGGCAGTTGACACTGTTAAGTGTCTGGTGTCCCGGTCATGGGTGGCTGTCACCTGGCCCTTGTAGTGACAACCCAGGGTGACACTTGCTTTCCTGGCTACAAGGGCAGGTTACTCACCAACTCAAGTTAATGGTTAACCCTGGGGCAGCTCCTGCGGAAGGTGGAAGTTCAGCTGTTCCAGAGCTGTGAGGAGCCCCTGGGGGGGTGGGAGCCTGCCCACCCACTCTGCACCACAAACCAGGATCGGTGCGGGGAGGCAGCAGCATGAATGGGAGCCACTGTGAAGTGCCTGGTGCTGGGAGCCCTGGACTCGCATCCTGCTCCCCCCAGAAGATGTGCTCCTGGATGCTGAGCTGTTGCTTAGCCCTTCAGGTAAGGGGGGACAATGCTGAGCAGCCAGAGAGATGGGGTGATGGGGAGAGGGCTGAGATCCTCATGGGTAGCAGAGCAGGGCCTGCATCCTGCCAGGGAAAGGGTGCGTGGTGTTCTAGCCAGGGTGCGCTGGGAGGGGAGTGGGTGATGCTGGGCACTGTCTGGGGGGTGTCAGTGAGCATGCATCAACTCGAGGGGCTGCAGTTCTGGGTGCCGCAGGGAGTCATGACCACCCACTCTCTTCACTGCACAGCATCTGACCGTGCAGGCCTCCTTGCTCTGCATCTTCCACCTCCTTCTGCTGCCTACCCTGCCTGAGGAGCTGTCCCATGCCCAGGCCACCAGTGAGCTGCTGGCACGCAGCCTCTTTGCCTGTGGCATCTCCACGGTGCTGCAGACCACCCTGGGCAGCCGGTGAGCAAGGGACATGAAGGGGACGTAGCTGTCATCAGGAGGAGGGTGATGCTGTGGCAGGGCATGTCTCTGCTCCCTCCTAGGCTGTGGGAAGACAGACTTTGCTGGAGATGGGAAGGAGCATGAGGACAACCCCTTGAAACATCTCTGCACGCCTGTCCCCTCCCTGCCATCACTGCATCATCCTCTCTCACATGTCCCTCTAGCAAAACTGCTGTACTTTCTCTCTAGCTCCTCACTGCCTTGCTCCAGCATCATGCGTAGCTACTCCAGACCATGCGGTACCTGTCCTGCCCACACCCCATGCAGGGGCTGGGTGTGGGCTTTGGCAAAGCCCCTGACCACTGTGTACATCCCATGTGCTGCCCCTTGGGATGTGCTAGGGCCCATTTGGGATATCGGGTGACCTCTTGCCACTGTGGGGTTCTCATCTCCTTCCCTTTCTTTCCCATCCCTTGCTCCTCTGGCAGTCAGGGCTTTGGGAGCAGCCCTGTCCCCTCTTTCCTCCCTAACGTGCCCTTGCTGTCCCCTTCCCCAGGCTGCCGCTGGTTCAAATCCCATCTTTCGAGTACCTAGTCCCTGCCATGGTGCTGAGCTCCCACCTGTCCCTCGGTGCCAGCATGGCCAGGAATGGTGAGCACAGCCCTGAAGCCTGCGTCCCATGGGGCCTGGGCCATGCCAGCGCTAGGGGAACAGCAGTGATGGCGTGCCCAGCGTGTGGGGTAGGGATGAGGGGTGGCAAGGGGTCCTGCCTGCTGGCCCCTCTGGTCATGGTGCATAGCACCCTACTCACCCCTGAGTGCACCTGCAACGCATCTGGTTGCCTCCCCACGGTCAGGGCTTATGGGGATGGTGATGCTGGCACACTGGCCCTTCTTCAGTCAGTAGCCTCCATGGTGCGTGCTTTTGTACCCAGCTCCAGAAGCTCAACACCCACATGTGTGACATGCTTCTGAATTTCCCTTCCAGGCACGGCCGTGGCCAGCGTGTGCCCTGCACCGCACTGCACTGTCGCAGGGAGCCAGGCTACCTTGCTGCGAGAGGTGGGTGCTCCTGCTCCACCAGCACCCTGGTTGTCACTTGCATCCCTCCATCCCCAGTCCCTTTTCCAGCCCTCCTGGGGAAGGCTGTGAACAAGGGGATGACAAGGGGACGTGCAAAGGCAACAGGGATCATGGTGTATGTGGGTGCGTATGTTCCTCTGCGCTTGGGGTAAGTGGAGCACGGGGAGCAAGGGATGCTACTGGGGCGGTGAGAGCAAGGCCAAGGGAAGGTGTTGGGATGCTTTTCATGTATCCTGCCCCATGGGTCCCACCCTTTCCTTCCTCAGGTCTCTGGAGCCGTGCTGGTCTCTGGGCTAGTTCAGCTGGTGCTGGGACTGTCCGGCATGTGCGGGTGGGCAGCCCAGCGCTGCGGGCCCATGGTCCTGGCCCCAAGCCTCTCCATCATCGGACTGTCCACATACAAGGAGGCTGCATTCTTCTGCTCCACTAACTGGGGGGTAGCACTGCTGTACGTGAGTCTGGGGGTCACACTGGTGTGCAGCTCCCAGGGCTTTCCTTTGCCGTGGGGACAGGAATGAGGCACCCCCGCATGGCACATATTTGGGGCGCCATTGCCATGATGCTGCGTGGTGACCTGTGCTCCCTCTCCTAGGCTGATGCTCCTCGCTGTCACCTTCTCCCAGCACCTGGGGTCCTGCCGCCTGCCCTTCTGCACCTGGCCCCAGGCTCAGGGGGGCTCCATGGAGCCATCTGTCCCCACTCTGCGCATGTTCTCGGTACCATGGCTTGTCTGTCCCTGTTCCCTCTGCTGCGCCCAGGCTTCTAACCAAGTGTGGCTCTTTGGTGTGGGGTTAGGTGGGACCCAGTGGTCCCGGAGCAGAGCTGGGTGCTGAGAGCAGAGGCAGGGGTGAAGCTCCCAGGGCACGGGTGCTGCTGAGGGAGTGCAGAGGACCTGTGCTTGAGGGTCTTGGAGCAGCAGAGCCTGGGATGCTCCCTGCAGGGATAAGGGGAGGTGTGGCATGGCTCCTTAGGAGAGGTGACAGGACAAGGATCTGCTGTCTGGGGCACAGCAGACAGGGTGCTGGCCAGGGCAGGCAGGGGAGAAGGGTCCGCCCCTGTTGAGGGTCTCCTTGCTTCCTTGCAGGTACTGCTCCCTTTTGCTGGTGTCTGCATTGTCTGCGCCATCCTCAGCTGCCTCCACATCCCCTGGGAATCGCTGGACCTGGCCATGGCACAGCTGTCCTGGGCCAACAGCACTTTCCATGCCCCTTGGGTCCGCATCCCCTACGCAGGTGGGGGCTGGCAGGGCTGGGTGCAGCCATCTGCCTTCAGCCAGGGCCTCTATCACCGGTCCCTTCTCCCTCCGCTGCAGGCGAGCGGGGGTGGCCGCTGCTCACCCCCCGGGCGCTGGCAGTGGGCATTGCCATGGCCATCGGCTGCAGTATGAACTCGGT